GCTGCGCCACCAGGGAGGGAGAGGGCCCACTTTTAATCTTACTTTGCAATGCATATTGGCAGACAGAATTCACAATTTTCTAGACCCAGAGAGAGTGGCAGTGAGACTTAATATCTTGATAATATTTTCAGGAACTCTGCACCAGTAAGTCATTAGAGGGATTCTATAAACATTCCCTAATTGTGAGAAGTGAGTCATGGATAACCAGAGAGAAACAACTCACCCTGCATATACTTCATGTGAAGTGTTGAAGGTGTTTTTACCACACAACACATGAGTTTGACTGTGACAAGAACTGTTTTCAAGCACGTGGTTGTTGTTTTTTGGTTTTTGTTTTGTAAAAAATACCTTTCAAAAAGCATCCCTTCCAGAAGTAACCCCTGGCCTTCTTGTATTTATGTCCATGGGCACTAGGAATGACACCTCATGGAAAACGACCAGTCATCACAGGGATGCCCCTACCGCACCGCTCCTCCCTATGTCACCTTGACTGCCAGTTTAAGTCATCCCAACTTTCTCCCTGTAGTTCCCAGTATGGAACCAAGCATAAATAAAATTGCCAGGAGAAGCAGATGAAACTTATAAAAACAGGGCATGGAGGAGCACTTTCATCCATGACTCTCAAAGCTTTTCCAAGCAGTAATTATTTCACACAATGCTCTTGTGAAACACCTAAGATCATTACTCCCATTTTACAGATGTAGAAACCAAAAGAACAGAATATGACTTCCCAGTGAAGGTTAGGATTGAGAGTTGTTTTTTGTTTTTGTCTTGTTTTTTTTTTTTTTAAAGATTTATTTATTTGTACATACAGAACTGGGGTACAGGCCAGAGGCTCAGGGGTGGTGAGAGGCTTCACCAGAGACAGAGTGGGGAGCAGAACAGGCAGATCAACGAAGTACACTGCTGAGGGGAGCAGCCGGCGGGCCAGGAGAGGTCTGCCGCGCCATGTGGTCACCTCCGGGGCAGGCGGGAATCGAACTCATGCGGAAGTGACTTTAGCTTCTCAGTGCAGTGCTTTAACCCGCTGCGCTACCAGGGAGGGCCTGTCTTGTTGTTTTAAGATTTATTTATGGGGGCCTCTCTGGTGGCTCAAGGGGTTGAAGCGCAGCATTATGAAGCTACCACCAGCCACATTGCATGAGTTTGATTCCCAGCCAAGGAGGCAACCCACATGGCACAGCAGACCACTCCTGTCTCACCTGCTGCTCCCCTTAGCAGTGTACTTTAAAAAAAAAAGAAAGAAAAAAAAATATTTATTTATGCATACAAGAACAGGAGTACAGGCCAGAGGTGGGTAGGGGAGGTGAGATGATTCATCAGAGACAGAGTGGGAACCAGAACAGGCAGATAAACTGAAATAAAGTGCTGAGGGGCGCAGCAGGCGGGTCAGGAGAGGTCACCTTCTTGGCCCTGATGGAACTCAAGCTGTGGGGGCTGTGGATAGCTTCATAGTATGGTGCTTTACCCATTGCGCCACCAGGGATTGCCCGAGGATTCAGAGATTTTAGTCTTTAGCTCTTCAATGAAGACCCACCCTTTCATCAATTAGATCAACAGAATCACCTGGGAGCTTCAAAATTTTCCCAGAATGGGATCCCTCTTTATAGATTTTATTGGCTTAGGGTTAGTTGGGATGTTGAGAGCTTTTTTTTTTAATTTATGCATACAAGAACTGGGATGGAGCCCCTGGTGGCACAGCAGGTTAAAGCGCAGCACTACTGAACCCAGCTATGGCCTCTTCAGCAGGAGTTCAATCCCTAGTCAGGGAAGTGACCGCTCCCCTCAGCAGTGTACTTTGTCAGCCTGCCTGTTCTGCTCTCCACTCTGTCTCTGGTGAATCCTCTAACTGCCCCTGCACCTTTGGCCTATACCCCAGTTCTGTATGCATAAATAAGTAAATCTTAAAAAAAAAAAAAAAGAACTGCCAGAGGTGCAAAGGATGAGAGGATTCACCAGAGACAGAGTGTGGAGCAGAACAGACAAATAAACTGAAATACATTGCTGAGGGAGCAGCGGAGAGCCAGGAGAGGTCTACTACTCCACGTGGGGGTTAGCCATCAGGTTGGGAATCAGACAGGTCACAGTTTATGATAGCTTTAGTGCTGAGGCTTTAACCCCTGCATCACCAGAGAGGCCTGGTGTTGAGAAATTTAAAGCTCCCTATGATTCTAATAGAGGTGATGACCGAAAATGGCTGTTAGGTGATAGTTTAGGAACTCTGTTAGAAAACTGGAGCTGTTTCTTGTAGGGCTCCACCTGATACATCCTACAGGCCCCTCACACTCACCATGTGCACCTCTCCCTGTCGTGTATCCTCTATATCAATAAACAACTCCACCATCAAATGGTGCCCTCTGTCCCAAACATGATGACACTCTTGCTTCTTTCTTTCCCCTTGTTCATTCAGTCACCAGGTTCTGATGATTCTGCCTTGTAGTTATTGCTTGAATTTTTTCCTCTCTCCTCTCCTCCCCTTTTCTTCCCTCCTCTCCTCTCCTCTCCCACTCCATTCCAGTGTGGGCAGGCCATTTCATTTCTCCTGTCTTTTGTCTTATGTGTTCTAATTCTTTCTGCGTTCTTCGGTTAGAGTAACCCATTCCACTTTTATGTGGGAACTCCTTTATAAAAATATGACTTCATCTTACCACACCCCCTCTGACCACCACCTAAAGCAGTCCTTCCTCTGGTCATTCTGAGTAGGACATGATGTCCTCTTCTCTCCCACTTTTGAGGCTATTAGTCCCTCAACAAGGACTTGTTCCTTCTGCTCCTCTATGCTTGTTTCCTTCTTGACCAAGCTGGTCTTAACTCCCATGACCTGTAAGCCTGACTGGATGCCTAACTGGATTCTCCACATGTATCACCTGCTAGTTTTACTTTTCCTCAATTCTGTTCTCTGAGCCCTAACAGCATGACCTTATTTTCCTGAACACACCATTTCTTACCTTCTTCTGGTTCCTTTCCCTTCTCTCCTCCC